TTCCCACCCCCAAGGGGAAATACAAACCTATTTCCTAAGAGTTCTATATGTACCCATTTCTCACAGTGGTTCCACCATCTATGCATAAATGTACTTAACATCAACCTTAGAATAACTGGGATATACCACTCAAATACCTTAATTTTACATAATCAGATTTTAATCAGTTATTTATGACTATCCTACATATAGCTTATATCAACCCTTGCAGTGCTATAAGTTTGCTCCTACTATCAGAAAATTCTTTTTTATTTAAACTTACTTCTCCATAAAATACTATCAAGATATGTCACCGATCTTGTTGGTTACCTTCCTAACTTCCTCTTAGACTGAAATGCCAGATAATGTATTTTCCAGCCCCCTTGCAAGTAGGGTCTAAACGTGCCAAGATGACATCTGACATAGGGTTTCTGTGAAAGGTTTACTTGCCTAATCAAGAGAGGACAAACTTCCTCCTATCTTTGGTGGCTGTGTGAGAATGTGATGTGTGGAACAGCAAGAGCAATGTACAACAATGAGAGGACAAGGGCACAATGAGCACAAAGATGAGCACGCTAAGGATAAAAATGAAAACTACCTGGATCCTGGATATAACATCACTGTACAGCTACAGTGACTAACCAGGAATCCTCCCACTCTGGGCTTTTTATGTGAAATACTGTTTACTATTGGTTGGGTATTATGTAACCTGAGGCCAAACTAATACAAGATATATTTAAGATATGACAGATGCTGAAAGTGGGAGAAGAACCAAGGTTAGAGTGGGTTGCTGGGAGAAAGGTGTTTAGAAGAGAGAAATTAGAAGGAAGAGAAATACATATACACACATGCACACGTAAACACACTAGGTGAGGATAGGTACATGAAAATCAAACTCCATTTGATTCCAACTGGTTTGAGTTAAGCTTACAGTAGTACATTAAGAGAAATATAGCAAGCAATGTAGGTGAGAAGTCAAGTTGCAGAACTGGGAAACATTCCACACAAAAATGATTTGTGTCATTAAAAATAGGATGGGGCACCTGGGTGGCTCAGTTGGTCAAGCGTCTGACTTCAGCTCAGGTCATGATCTCACTGCTCGAGAGTTCGAGCCCAGCATTGGCCTCTGTGCTAACAGCTCAGAGACTGGAGCCGGCTTCGGATTCTGCGTCTGTCTCTTTCTCTGCCCCTCCCCTGCTTACGCTCTGTCTCTTTCTCTCTCTCTCTCTCTCTCAAAAATAAATAAACATTAAAAAAAAAAAGGTTTCAAAAACAGGATATAACCACCAAGAAAACACAGTGAAAAGCACAAAGACCCCTGAGTACACTGGTTATCTCTCCCTCATTTTAGATAAGGTTCATCCATGAGTTAGGCCAATTAGAATAATTCCACCCCTCTTGACAAAGACATTGTGACAGACTTGGCAGCATGATCCTTCTAATTTGTTCAATCAGAACAGAGCTTAGGACTTTTGGGAAAAGGCTAGTCGAAAAGAGAATCCTTCTCTTTACCTTTGGAAATAAATAAAGAAGGCTATCACATGAACATTGCTGATAGCCATTTATTTATTTTTTACTAGGAGGGAAGCCAGTCTGAGCATAAAGCCCAAACAGTAGGACAAAATTGAGATAATAGCAGAAAAATGGAGTTTCAGCCCCAATGACATAAGCCCATGAACAAACTGCTCTTGAAGCCAATTCTATCTATGCACTTGCCAATCACATGAGCCAATACACTCTTTTTTGCTTTTAAATCCAGTTTGCATCATAATATATGAATCACTATGTTTTGGGGGAAGAACAACGCAGGAATGTGAAAAAAAACTTTCAGATATCTAAAAGAATCAGGACATACAATGCAGAAGAACCAAGAAATCAGATAATCTTATTCCTATGGTGTATATGGTTTTAGGAAACCAAGGATGACTGAAGGAAAGCCAATAGATGCGGTGATTAGGAGGTCATAGGGGACTTTTAAAATAGCAATTTCAGGGGCGCCTGGGTGGCGCAGTCGGTTAAGCGTCCGACTTCAGCCAGGTCACGATCTCACGGTCCGTGAGTTGGAGCCCCGCGTCGGGCTCTGGGCTGATGGCTCAGAGCCTGGAGCCTGTTTCCGATTCTGTGTCTCCCTCTCTCTCTGCCCCTCCCCCGTTCATGCTCTGTCTCTCTCTGTCCCAAAAATAAATAAACGTTGAAAAAAAAAAAAATTTAAAATAGCAATTTCAGTGCTGAAATGGTAAAGGAAGTTAGAGTGCAAAGGAGAATATTTTATATTTATTAGGAACTCCATAATGTACCAAACACTTGGATGGATATCTAACATGTGCTAAACTCCTTCAATTATGACTCTAAGTTTAACACTCTATTTTATAGTTAAAGAATAGAGTCTGAGTAGTAACTTGCCCACAGCCACATAGCCACTAAGTGTTTTTAACAGACTTCAAACCCAGATTCACCTCGGTCAAAAGTCAAATATTCTTGCTACTACACTAGGCTCCTGGGACTAAAGAATAAAAATACAGTGGCACAGCAGGCTCAAAATTCAGACTGGCTTTACTGAGTTACACAGCACTGTATTTGGCAGCCTTGAGAAAGATATAAGCATGTACATAGGCTAGAGAGGGAGAGACTGAAGAAGGAATGATAATGGACAGTTCTACAGAAAGAAGGATGGGGAGGGATGATTGTGGACACATCAGGAGGGGAGAATATTTCCTTTTGTGAGATAGGAGTAAATAAGGAAATAATACAGAGGATAGAAAAGAATATACCTCAGACAGTTGAGATTTTTCTCAAGAAAGGAAGGTATCAAGTTATTTGCTATAAAAACCTTCCGGAAATGAGACAGAAAGGTACACGACCAGCACTTAAAACCCAGGAGAGAACAGGGCACCAACTTGTATGGAAATGAACCTATATCCTCATACAACGGTCTCTTGCATCCTTTGGGATGTCAGGAATCAAACCGAAAGAGCTAGTGATAATGCTTACTCTGGACTGGGCACTAGAAAGGTAAACCTACAGAAAATAAGGCATTCTAGGGCATCCGTGAGAGCTTAGTAAAAACTGATGACAGTGAGATCCTGGTTATGTAGGGAGGCAAATGAAATCAGCAGTAGGCTAATGGGTTGGATGAATAGAGAGACAAAGAGGGGCTCATAAAGACAGTGTGAGAGACAGAAAACAGGTACCATAAGAGTGGAAGAGTGAGAGATTTTAATGACAGTCTGTGATCAGAGATGTGTTTTGACACAACCCTTCGAATTATTTTGCCAGAGGCAGAGAGGCACTGACTGGAGTTAGTCCTACTATCTCTTCAGCCAGAAGCACAGAATTGAGACATAACCCCCTTTAAAAACATGCAGTCCTTAGTTGTAGAAAAATGAAGGCCTAAAACAAACAAATGAATGAACTAGCCCATACAGGAATCAAACATAAAAATATCTCCTCTTTTTTTGAACTAAACAATTCTATCTCCAAATTTAGGAAATTAAAAAAATAAAAATAAAAATAAATTAATTTAAAAGGAAATTCATTAAGGTCAGAGTCTACAGCAAAGGGAAAAACAGATTATGTGTCATGAGGCAGAATGAAAAGTAAACAAATCTGTCAGGCCAATTATATAACCCACATATTGAAGACTGTTAGTATAGACTTCCAATAGGGCAAGGATAGTTTGTGCTTTCATAACCTGGGAGAGCACCTAGCATAGTTTCAACAAACGATATTATGCAATTTAATGTTAATAAAAAAGGTCCACCTATTTGTAATCTCAAAGGAGAAGCTATCATTTACATCTATAATCTCAGTTTTACAATTTGGGGGCTCTTGAGAAATTACCCAATTAGTTCTCCGTATGGAAGTAAATTAAGAAGGCTATCACATGAATACTGCTGATAGCCATCTTGTTTTGCTAGGAGGGAAGCCACTTTGAGCAGGAAGCCCAAACAGAAGGACAGAGCTGAGATAACAGCAAAAAGATGGAAAATATGGGAGAAACAGCCATGGCAACTTCCTCCACTACTACTTCAATCCTGTGGTTTGCACTTATAAACTCTGGCAAGGTACCAGGTTATTCAGGACAGTTTCTTACACCATTAATTCTGAGTACCCTTGCCCCAGTAATAAAGAAAGAACTGAGACTGGCACAGCCTGAATTTTGCAAAAAATAATCAGGTCTTACAGGGACTGTTAAGTAGTAACAACAATTGAGAATCCAAGAAATTTGAGAAGTTTTTAGTTTAAAAAGCTTTTCTCCATTTTAGCCCTTTCTAAATAAAACAAAGGGCTTGTACAATACGGTATTCTAAAGCTTCACTGGGCAATTTAAGCGAACATTGGATAAAAGAATAAATCACTTAACCTTTCTTGTGCCATTACATATCTTACATTCACAAAGCCTTCCTTTTAAAAACGAACATTTCCCAATTCTTTCACTAGACCTAGAAAACTTAAGCCTCTGCCTCAAAAGTTAGGAGACCAAAGATTTGGAGATTAATTTCCATGAACAATCATTTGCATCACAGGCACCATTCTCTCCTTTGCAGTTCAATGGGCCAAGGATTCCAACTCTTCAAACCACCTCTCCTGGGGACTGGACTCCCTCATCAAGGTGAAGCTTTTTCTTTGTAACTCTCTCTATATGAGAGGCTACCGGGTAATCTTCCCAGACAGTTAAACTTTTAAAGGAAGCCAAGAGGGTCGAAACCAGGAAGATGGGGAGGCGACTAAAATAGGAGGGGCGACGACCCACCCACCTAACGCGAAAGAGAGACCGCTTGGACGCGAGAAGCTTCACCAGGAGTCGGGAAAGATGCGAAGGGCGGCAGGCGTCGCGACCCCCACCCACTGTGTGAGAATGGAGGGCTTGCAAAGCCAGGGGCCAACTGGAGGCCTGAAACAGGGCGCGGGGCGGGGAGAGGGTGGGACGTGGAGACAAGAGAACGGCAGACTCGGGCCGAGCACCGCTAGGGTCTGGAGCAACGGTGGGGCAAAGACGCCAATGCTTACGCTTCACTCACCTGCCAGACGTTCGCCCCGCGGCCAGAAGTACGGACGCCGCCTGGGCGCTTCCTCTCCTGCGGGACACGGCCGCCGCCGGAGCTCCAGGACCCGAGGGTAGAGGGTGGTGCAGAAGCAGGCAAAACGGCGACCGGACCCGAGCCCAGACAGGCGTACATAGGGGGCGCCGGGGGGCCGGGAAGGCAACTGTGCTTCACCTTCCTCACCAGTAACCAACAACACTTCCCGGGAACAGCATCGTGCCAGCCTCGGCCCGCTGCTCCCCGGCCTTCTCCCGCAGCTCCCCCCAGCAGCGGCCGGGTTTCCGGCGGCCACACTCCGCCCCCTCGCTACTTGGCCTCCGCCATCTTGTTGGAGGCGGGAAGAATGTAGCGCGCTTGCGTGCGCCGAGATTGCCGGCGCTCTTCTACCCCGCAAGGAGGGGCTGAAATGCGCAGTCGCGTTGTTGCGGCGCTCAGACCCTCGCTTCTTCACGGTCCGGTGCGATGTGCGTTCGCTACTTGGGAAGCCGAATCTCAGTTCACCGGACTTACTTGCCTTTTCCTGAACTGTGCTGCAGCCGATTTAGTAGAACCCGTCTGCACACCCATATTCAAGTTATTCTGCAAACACCTAGGTAGTGCCTACAATGTGATAGGTTCTAGGCCAGGTGCTGAGGGTAGATTAATAAAACCTATCTGTAGCCCAAAAGGAGCTCATAATCTAGTGAAAAAGACAGATGAACGAGTAATTCCCCAAATTCTTGTTTTGTAGCTGCGCACCACCTCCTCTCCCTTGCTCCCACTATTTTAATTCAAAGCATACTTCTTGGGAAGTCCTCCTAGTTTGTCTTACACAAACTTTATCTTTCATTACCTCTCTAGCTTAATTTCATTCAACATTAATTCAACAAATAACATTTGAGTTTCTATTATATACTTAATATTGTCCTAGGCTCCAGATTTATAGCAGTAAGAAATACATTCATGGAATTTACATTCTGGTGGGAAAGAATGGGCAATAAAGACAAATCACAGAATTAATGTTTGATAGTGATGAGGGATGGGAATGATGGGATTTGGGGGTGACGATGGGGTTTGGAGCTGAAGGTCAAGAAAGAATTCTTGATGACCTCTTTGGTGCAAAAAAGTGAATTTACTTAAGCATGGGGACAGGACCCTAGGGCAGAAAGAGCACACTGGGGTGGTGACAGGTAACTGATTAAATACCTTGAGGTTGGAGGGGGGTTGGAGATAGAGTAAGTCTCTAAGGTATTTTGGAAGCAAGGTTTCCAGGACCTTGAGGGCCAGCTGCTGTTAGGAAAAAAACCTCAGTCATGACACCCTTCACATGTAGATCAGGGGGCCATAAGCTTGGGGTATGATTGCCAGCATATACCTTGGGGGAATTGAGATACAGGAAGTTTCCAAAGCAATTTTTATATGTTAAAGTAGACTTAGAGGATCCTGAGGGGTCAGGATAACATTAAGCCAAGGTTCCCTTTTGCCCCTAGCAAAGTGTCATCATCGAGGCAGCTGAGGTCCTAGAAGGACGTCACTCTGCCCGTTTCAAGGACTTGTCAATGGGCAGTAGGCAATAAGGGAATTTAATTTTTCATTTGCCTTTGTTTCCCACATCACCGCAAACCCCTCTCCTTTGCTCTTGGGTAGCCAGGGGTGTCCAAAGAATGTCACACATATCCCACCTGGCAGGGGGAGTGGGTGCTGTTAGCCTGTACTTTGCTCTCACCTTGCCCAACATTCCCTCATCAGGAGGAGAGCAAACCACCAAACGATGATGGCGTGAAGGACCGTAATTAGCAATCTCTCTCCAGAGATGACATTTGATCTGAGGCCTGAATGACCACAGGGGCCAGGAGCCAAGAGAAGATCTGGGGTGGAGCCTTCCAGGCAGAGGAAACAGCTAAAGCAGAGGCCTGAGGTGGGAATGAGACCTGCAGGTAAGAGGGACAAAGAGAATAAGTGGCATGGACAGTGGGAGGAGATGAGGTCAGGGAGAGGCAGGGGTCAAGTTAGCAAGGGCATTGAGGGCATGGTAAGAGTTGGATTTTACTACAAGGGTCCTGTCTAGCTTGTTGACACTGCCCCAACTGGTTTTCAAATACTAATATTTCCTGACAGCCTCATTGCTTTGCACATGCTGATCCCACTGTCTTGAAGACCTTACTATTGTATTTTATGTGTGTAGCTTGTCATCTTCCAGGTTTCAGTTGAAGTGTCACTTCAGAAAGGCCATCCTTCCTCAGCTATGTCTCCCTTCTGCTCTCTAATTAGTTTTCAGTATTGCACCTATCATTTTTTCCATGGCACTCAACATTTTTGCTTTTCTATTTCACCTATCTCCCCACCCACCTCTCCTCTGTCACCCTAGTTTGTTCTCTGTATTTAAGAATCTGTTTGTTTGTATCTTTTTTTCTTTATTTGTTCATTTTTTTCTTAATTCCATAAGAGTGAAATCATATAGTATTTGTCTCTGTCTGACTTTGTCATTTAGCATTATACCTTCTAGGTCCATCCGTGTTGTTGCAAATGGCAAGGTCTCATTCTTTTTTATGGCCAAGTAATATTCCATTATCTATATCTATATCTATATCTATCTATCTATCTATCTATCTATCACATCTTTATCCATTCATCTATGGATGGACATTTGGGCTGCTTGCATGTCTTGGCTATTGTAAATAATACTGCCATATACATAGGGGTCCATATATCTTTTCAAAATAGTGTTTTGCTTTCTTGAGGTAAGTAACCAGTAGTGGAATTACCAGGTCACGTGATAGTTCTATTTTTAATTTTGCGAGGAACCTCCATACTGTTTTCCAGAGTGGCTGCACCAGTTTG